ACAGAATTTTTACTAGATGAGAGACCTGTATGTCTGCTGCCTCTGTGTTTTGCTCAGAATGATTTAGAGACAGTCCCAGATCACCAGGGTGCTTCTCTGTATCCTTCCCCTTGTCTTTTCTCTAACATGCATGCATGACACTAATGGAATAAAGCTTTCAAGCTAGCAGGAAAATCAATATTTTATGCAGCAGGCAGAGACTTATTGAGCGTCATAGAATGTGGCTAAGTTCTCTTTTTTTAAAAATTGAAGGAAAGAAGTGATTCAACTATTGAGCAGTCACCTGAGTCATTTATATTTTAACTAGAGGCCCAATGCACAAAATTTGTGCGCAGGGACAGGGGGAAGGGTGTCCCTCAACCCAGCACGCACCCTCTCCAATCTGGGTCCCCTCAAGGGATGTTCGACTCTCCTCTCACAATCCAGGACTGTTGGCTCCTAACTGCTCGCCTGCCTGCCTTCCTGATTGCCCCTAACCACTTCAGCCTGCCAGCCTGATCACCCCCTAACCATTCCCCTGCCAGCATAATTGATGCCTAACTCCTCCCTTGCCAGCCTGATTGCCCCTAATTGCCCTTCCCTGCAGGTCTGGTCACCCAAACTTCTCTCCTCTGCCAGCCTGGTCACCCCTAACTGTCCTCCCCTGCAGGCTAGATCACCCCCAACTGCCCTCCTTTGCTGGCCATCTTATGGTGGCCATCTTGTGTCCACATGAGGGAAGCCATCTTTGACCACATGGGGGCAGCCATCTTGTGTTGAAGTGACAGTCAATTTGCATATCACTCTTTTATTAGATAGGATGGCAAACTTAAAAATGATATATATGATCCTATCTGCTACTTACCTAGCATTCCAGATATTTAAATGTCGGAGCGCTTACATGAGTAAATTTGTGTTCTCATTGTGTTCCTAAGCCATGAAAGTCTTTGCACTTCATTTTAAAAAAAAAAAAGAAAGAAAGAAAGAAAGAAAGAAAGAAAGAAAGAAAGAAAGAAAGAAAGAAAGAAAGAAAGAAAGGAAGGAAGGAAGGAAGGAAGAAAGGAAGAAAGGAAGGAAGAAAGGAAGAAAGAAAAAAAAGAAAGTCTCTCATAAGGTTTTCTCATTATGATTAAGGGGTTATTTTTTTAAGGCTTATATTTATTTAATATGATGATAACTTGAAGGGCATTAAATCTCAGAAAACTGTCATCTTGCTAAGTCTCGGAAAGACTGATGATCACCTCTTTCCAAACTAGGGTACCCTAAAAGCCTCCCAGTAAGTGTAGCCTACTTGAGGGCTGAGCTGAAAACCTCTGAACCCAGCAGCCGCGCCAGACCCTGCCTCACTGGCACCTTGATCCCCAGGACCACTGTCACCAAGTTCCATAAGTTTGCTCTCCCTGTTTGTGCTGGGTGAGCAGAGCCCTGTGGAAATAGGAACCCACTGTCCCACAGTTGCACAGGAAATAAATAGAAAGAGAGCAAAAAGCACATTTTACCAGTTATTGAGCCTACTGTCGGTCTGGCAGTCTCATTTAATTTTCACAACTCTGAAAGTAAGTGTGTTTTCCTGCTCTACAAATGGGGGTTAGGACTGAGGATAAGTGGTGCACTGAGGCTTCACAGTTTTAAACGGCAGAGCCAGGTCTGCTTGACTTGAAAGCATGTACACCCCACTAACCTCTAAACAAACACCTACACTTCACAGGAATCCAAGTAGCAACTTATTTTTTACATTTGAGGTTCAAGATAATAAAGCAAATTTCAACAACAAAAAATACTTTTATCAGGGATTATTCAGAAAAGTCACTCATACTGAAAGTCCTATGATCTTTTTCTTTTTAATATGTTTTTATTGATTTCAGGGAGGAAGGGAGAGAGAAATAGAAACATCAATGAGAGGGAATCATCGGTCAGCTGTCTTCTGCACACCCTCTACTGGGGAGTGAGCCCAAAACCCAGGCATGTTCCCTTGACCGGAATCGAACCCAGGACCCTTCAGTCTGCAGGCTGACGCTCTATCCACTGAGCCAAACCAGCTAGAGCTTGCTGTGGTCTTTTTAATCTCCTGGTGTCCCACTGTGAGATAATATTCAGTTAGGGTGATATTTGTTGTCAGGACCTGGGGCACTGCAGATACTCAATTACCAGAGAAAGTTTAAATAATGTCAAACATAATAAGGCAAGAAAGAAATGAAGACACTTGAAATATAGTTTAAACAAGTGGTCCTAATCATCTTTCAGTTAATTAAAAATAGTAAGTAGAAGATCCCTAAACAGCCGAAACCGGTTTGGCTCAGTGGTAGAGCGTCGTTCTGTGGACTGAAAGGTCCCAGGTTCGATTCCGGTCCAGGGCATGTACATTGGTTGCGGGTACATGCCCGGTAGGGGGTGTGCAAGAGGCAGCTGGTCGATGTTTCTCTCTCATCGACGTTTCTAGCTCTCTATCTTTCTCCCTTCCTCTCTGTAAAAAAATCAATAAAATATATTTTTAAAAAATAAAATAAAAAATAAATAAAATAAAAATTTGGTCTATATAGAGCAACAAAAATTTAAAAAAAATTAAAATCCCTAAACAGCTTACTAATTATAATGAAAACACTCCAATTCAGGGTGGCACTCCTTTCTGTTTATCTTTTTTAATTATTAACTTCTTTATGAGCAGTTTTAAAAGATTAACTTTTGCAGAATAAGGGCAAAGTTTCCAAGTACAGTCAATTTTTTATCTTTAGGGGCTGCCTCTAAAGTTGTGAGACTATAGGCAAGACCAACTAGGATGGGCTTCACCTGCTACGAGAGGGCAGCTGGCGACTCGTTTTCGGCATTACTAGAAGCCATCGCACTTTCTGATTTCCATTCTGGGTCAGAGTCAGAGCCTATTCTGGCTTCACTCATGCTCCCCTTGGTGTGTCCCCACCCCCAAGCACTGAATATGTACACACAGAACACAGTCTTTTTCCAGCAGCGAATCTCCTGGTAAAATTTCAAGTGGCAAAATCCTATCAGAAACCACTAATTTGAGACCTTTATTAGCAGCCTGCCCATTCTCTTACTGTATCTTTATAGGTATAGACCTTTCCCTGAAAATAAGGCAAATAAAGCTCAAAGTTAAACCAATCAATGTTTGCTTGAGCATTTAATGCAAATAAATTGAAACTGAGCGGTAGTTAAGTTGCATGAGATTTTATTTTATTTTATTTTATTTATTTATATATTTATTTATTTATTTATTTATTTTTACTATTTAGTCTGATTTTCCATGCCAGCTAATAGTATATGTAATTGAGAGAGGGCCATAAAAATTCAGTATATTCCCCATTCAGAGATCAAAGGTAAACTTTGTAAATTTAGTAAATTTTTTTAGTACATCTTGGGTAACATTTTTAAATGTAGTCTTCTTGAAGCACTATAATTATCACATCCTTTCAGGTTTAAAAACCTTGAGCAAATGATTTCTGTTTTCTAGACAATATCAGCCTAATGGAAAGGAGGTAGTCAGGAGGCAAGGACTATAAACAGCAAGAAAAGGAGAAGTAGGGAGTGATGAGTGATTGGGTGCTAGTTCAAATGGGTCAAGAGGACTTTAATGTCACCTTTGACCCAAAGAAAGTGAAGGAGAGATCCATGTTGATAACTGGGAAAACACTTCAGGCAATTGCAAAGGCTCTGAGATGGACTGAGTCAGTCAGTATGAGTAGGACAGATAAAAGGGAAAGTGGTACAAGGTAAAGGCTATACCGTATAGTACCCTCTAGGCCTGTGGTCAGCAAACTGTGGCTCTCGAGCCATATGCGATTCTCTGGCCCCTTGAGTGTGAATATTCCACAAAATACCACAGCCTGGGCGAGTCTATTTTGAACACGTGGCGTTTGAAGAAGTTTAAGTTTAGCCGAAGCCGGTTTGGCTCAGTGGTAGAGCATCGGTCTGCGGACTGAAGTGTCCCAGGTTCGATTCCGGTCAAGGGCATGTACATTGGTTGCGGGCACATCTCCAGTAGAGGGTGTGCAAGAGGCAGCTGGTCGATGTTTCTCTCTTATCGACGTTTCTAGCTCTCTATCTCTCTCCCTTCCTCTCGGTAAAAAATCAATAATATAGATAGATAGATAGATAGATAGATAGATAGATATAGATATAGATATATATAAAAGAAGTTTAAGTTTAAAAAATTTGGCTCTCAAAAGACATTTCAATCGTTGTACTGTATTTGGCTCCGTTGACTAATGAGTTTGCCGACCACTGCTCTAGGCCACGGTAGAGCCCTTGTGTTTTACTCTGAGTGGGATGAGAGCTGTGTGGGCTGACACTCTAACCGCTGAGCCAGGCTGGCCCTGCGAGGGCGTGGTTATTGACATGATTTCTGTCTATAGGTGTAGCAAGCATCCTTTAAATACCTCTGAACATATGTTGAATGAAGTAATACAGGTAAAGGAAAATCGTTTGGTGCTGGAGAGCCCTGGCATTATATAACCAGAGAACTGCCTGGCATCACTGCCCTTCATTCCTTTCCTAGAACACACTTCCCCTTAGTCTTTTTCATAGTCTCTGTTGTTGAACTTTGGTCCGAAGCTTTTTCAAAACCGTAGTACATTATATATCCTGGTTCCTGTCCGGTGACCTACTTGGTTGTGTCCTTGGAATTTTTTGCTGCCTAACACACGAACTCTGTAAGAACTAAGATCAGAGGTTTTAGATTCCAATCATGTTTCCACACGGTTGTTTTGTGTGAAAACTGGGACAGCAAGGTAAACGGCTTCACAGACCCATGAACATGCCACAACCACAGGATTGGCTCCTTACGCCACGGCTGTTGCTTTTGGGACGTGTCCTTCCCAATGAGCTGCATGAGCCTTGAGGGCAAGGATTGTAACTGCGTCATCTTCCCCCCCTCCCCCCCCCCCGCCCCTAAATCCAGCTTCGTACCCGATAGAAAGGTTAACAGTAAAATAATTGAGTAAGTGAAAGTTTCTGATTAAATTTTAAGCAACTAAATATGTGTCTTCTCTTTTGTCTCATCTGTATAGCGCCTGACAGCTACAAAGTACATGAGAGGAAAACTGCTGCCTCCAACCGGCCGCCCGCTGCTGTTTCAGGACAAAATAGCAACCACTCAGGAAATAAGCCAGGTATGCTGCAGTGGGACGTCCCACTGAAACGGAAGGTTATCCCAAAAGCCTTGAAGACATGCTAGGATTTAGGGGAGCGTGGTTTCAGTTCTGCCACCAAAACACACAATCGTACTGATTTGTACGAGTTTGTTAGAGAACCCTTCAAAGCCTTGATTTTCTCCTTTTAAACGGAGATTCAAAGGCATTCCCTATTTACCTCTCAGAATCATTTCGACAGTCCATGAGATGGGTATGTGGAGGCACTGTTGACTGCCAAGCAGTGTATAAGAAGTAATAATTTTACTATCCTGTTGGAAGTGATAGGACACCTTTCAGCATGCCCAGCATTATTGTATATCACTTTTGTGACTATTTCAAAAACCATTTAAGAACTTCTTTACACCTAACGAAGCTGGTATATAGAATTATGTTCTTGTTCACCAGTCTTTACAATGATTGTACAGCCACACAGTAATCTCATTTAATAACCTATGACTCATACATAGTCTGTTCCATTCGGTGATCCAAAGAAGCGGTCTGTAAACATAACACAAACAGTTGGAGAGACAATGCATTGGCTTCCAGGTATCCAGCAACCATGTGTGGTCCTGGAAGAGCCTAATGGGCAGTATGATGATGAGAGATGTTCAAAGGAAGGTACAGGCAAACCGAATACTCTACGAGAGTCTTGGAAGTCTACTTCATGCTGCCTCCAAGGCCAAAGTTACTCAAGAATAGGAATCAGTGAGATAATATCAATAAACATAAATAAATTAAAATAATAATAATAAAGATAGAAATAATTGCATCTAGCCTCATAGGAAACATTCACCATTATATCTACCATTGTGGAGCTTTATCCCACATGGAAAAGGTCTTACATAAGACACTTTTAAATAAGACCTAAATCGACTGGTCACTTAGAAGAAAGAAGTAGTACTATTACAAATATTGCATGAGTAGCCTTCAGCAGCCTTTCAATTAGCAAGCTGAGATTTCCCCAGTTAGTTGTTTTGCCTTTCCATTCATTCATTTATCCATCCATCTATCCACCCACCATCTAATTATAATTGTATGTATTGTTCTGTGCCTGGGACTGTGAGAGATAGTGTATGAACAAAACAATGAGACCCCTATCCTCGCTGGGCTTATTCTGGAGGGCTTTTGTTCCTTATATTCAAGTGAGCATCCTTGTGGAAGTAAAAGTTCTTTAGTATGAAAACCCATTTGTTTTGCCATGAGAATTGAATATAACTAAATGGTTTATACTATTTTCCCCTTGTCCTCCCTATTAATAATTACTTATGATTTTTTTTTACCTTCAATCCGTTCTAATCAATTTTTATACCATTCTGAAATTTTCAATGAAAATTTCTTCGATTCTTGACTATGCAACTTATACTTCTATATCCCAAAGGCTCGTTTATTCATCTGGTGTTAAGCATTGTGTAGGTACTAAGAGTAAATTATTAAAAGACATAGTCCCGACTCTCTAGTTGGCATTATGGTGGAGTAAACTAATATTTGAGTAGATACTTCTAATACAGAATCCATCGTGACAAGATACATCTGCATAGAGTGCAGAGAAAGCACAGAGGCCAAAAACTCTCCACTCCAATTGGCCATCTCTTTAAGAGCCATTTCATTTAAGTTGCTAAAGTCAAGTTAAATGAGGAGACATTTCATTTCAGGTTAATTGAATATTTTAAGCATTCTTATGTCTGCTTTCTTGTATATAGATATAAGCAAAGGTACAAAAAAAAGGATGTTATTTTTAAGACCATCATGTTATTTTCCTGCATATCCCAAATGATAATGTAAGAGGTTCGTTCCATGTTGGAGGACTAGGCTTGAGTAAAACCCTTTCATTTTATCGGATATGAGTCATGGGATTGTCTGTGTAGAGTAGGTTGTTAATTTACATTCTCTAGAACTTGAAAAAAAAATACTTGTTCAATTTGGGGATATTTTTAATAATCCCCTAAACATACAAGGGCATCCTGATCAAATAAAGGATTTTTTTTAGGTGGTCCTTTTAATACAGAAAATTTTTGTTTCCTTTCTTCTTTACTCTGTGAAAATTTAAACCCATTAGAAAACTCTAGAACATCTCTTTGATTTAGAAAGCATCTGTTCACATTCAGGTTGTTCATTTTTATCTTTAAAGCATGAATGTTTATTCAGAATAACCGTACTGGGGATTCTATTTGTTATTAAGGAACAGAACTTAAAGCATAAAAAATAATAGAAGTTCAGTAGCTTAGGAACACAAAACATATATACATATTGTTTGAGGAAAATAACCAAAAGGCTACAGTTGTGTTATCTTTCTACATAATTGTTTGCCATGTGCCTTTTGAATTTATTTTTATTATTTCCCATTTTTATTGAGATATAATTGATATGTAGCACTGTGTAAGTTTTAGGTCTACAACATAATGACTTGTATTTATTAGGAAATGATTACCACAATACATTTAGTTAACATTCATCATCTTATATACTAGGTACCAAAAAAAAAAAAAACAACTATATACACAGTTTTGAAGATAAAGTGCATTTTAAGAAGCACTGCCTTTAAAATTACTCAAAGTGAGCCAAAACCGGTTTGGCTCAGTAGATAAAGCATCAGCCTGCAGACTGAAGGGTCTCAGGTTCGATTCTGGTCAAGGGCATGTACCTTGGTTGCGGGCATATCTCCGGTAGGGGGTGTGCAAGAGGCAGCTGGTCTCTCTCATCGATGTTTCTAGCTCTCTATCTCTCTCCCCTCCTCTCTGTAAAAAATCAATAAAATATATATATTTTTAAAATAAAATTACTCAAATTGTATGTATGTGTTTATTGAGACACCCTATAGATACAAAAAACAAAAACAAAACAAAAAAACCCACGGGATCTTTTCCCCTATGATGAGGACTCTTAGGACTTACTCTCCTTTGTAATGTTTTTATATTGACTGATTGATTTGAGGGAGAGAGAGAGAGCAAGAGAAACATCAATTTGTTGTTCCACTTATTTATGCATTTATTGGTTGATTCTTGTATGTGCCCTGACCAGGTATGGAGCATGCAATCCTGGAATATTGGGATGACACTATAACCAACTGAGCTACCCACCCAGGGTATAATGTTTGTAAATAGAAGAAAACTGCTAGGAAATTCTCAAAAAATTCTAGCAAAGTCTATCACTGAAAGTATAGTCGTATGTACAGTTGTAAGATGTAGCATTATATTATTCATCAAGTTTACTAGATAAAAGGATACTTGTCTGTGTATTTAATTAGTTTATTTATTTTATTTATTTATTTATTTTTAATATATTTTATTGATATTTTTACAGAGAGGAGGAAGGGAAAGAGATAGAAAGCTAGAAACGTTGATGAGAGAGAAACATCGACCAGCTGCCTTTTGCACACCCCCTACCGGGGTTGTGCCCGCAACCAATGTACATGCCCTTGACCGGAATTGAACCTGGGACCTTTCAGTCCGCAGACCGACGCTATACCACTGAGCCAAACCGGTTTCGGCATAATTAGTTTATTTTTTAAAATATGTTCTTCCTCCCATGATTTCTATCTTCTCTCAGACCCTCCACCTGTGCTGCGGGTTGATGAGCGGCAGCGACTGGCCCGGGAGCGGCGTGAGGAACGGGAAAAGCAGCTAGGTACGATATTTCTGTCTCTCGCTTGTCTTTCGGGAACACTGTTGTTGAAATGGTACTTTCTCCCCTCTAGAGTAATGGACACTTAACATTAAGCAAATGGGCATCACTAAAATAACCATACTCTCTAGCATGCCTTTATGAGTTTTGCAAATTAATTGTGAAACAGAATTTACTGTGTGATATAAACAAAGGACCAGGTTTTAAGCGACCATCAAGCCTGGCCCAGGATTAAGGTCATGTGCACATCTTATATTGTAATCACAGTTTATTGTGACACTGGGGGAAATGTATATATGATGTGATGGCTCAGATTACATCTTACAACTTAAAACATGCAAGGACAGTAAGCATATGATTCTTTTTTATGGGAACAGCTATGAGCCTAAACACTGCTAGGGGGCACTTGCTGCTTTCCATGTTAGAATAATGCTACTGCTGAATTTATAGACAAATGCTGCCACTTTGCTGCCAGGAAGAGCACAAGATCTCATGCCAAGGGTTCTGATTTTTCTATTGTTATCTGAGGCCTTTGTGAAAGGTTAGCAACTGCAGTATTTTGCCATATAATCACCTAGAGAGCTGGGTCCCAGGACTAGCTTACCAGTAAGCCGAGATCAGAGCACTCAGCAATCATGGTCCTTGTCCTCCAGAACATTGAGCATGGATGCTGGTGCCAACTCCTTCTTTACTTTGCAGTTCATTATGCAAAGCTGCTAAAACAGGATCCTTTCTGTATATATGTTGAGAAGATGAATTGCCTGGTCAGTATGTCTGTGTTTCTGAAGTGTCTGGGTATTTTAAGACTAGGGCTGACTTAGGTTGCCAAAAGCTTTCTATTTTGTAAGAATTCATGTTTCAATTGGGAAACTTAGCCCCTGTATCCATCTTTTTTAAAATTCTTATTCAAGAACCCAAATTAAAAAAAAAAAAGGAACCCAAATTTGTGAAATTCCCTAGAAAATGGTTTTCAAAGTCTGTTGGCATTATTTACACTCTCTGAACACAGGCCTCTTTCTCTGCCTTGCCATAATGATCATATGAAGTCATTCCTTTTGCTGTCAATGTTTTTTTCGACACAAATTTCAATGACTTGCTTAACAACTCTCCTATTTTCTGTGCCTAGAGTTTTGGCCCAGTCTTGTCCCCTGTCCCTGGTGAATTTCTGTGGTTGGTAGGTTCCTGGAGAGTAGGGCTGTCTGTGGACTGTGCCCACTGCCCCGGGTCAAGTTTGGATTGACAGGTGGACCAGAACTGAGGAAGAGGGAAAAAGTAGAGTTACTGAAGCAGGAAGAGACTCCAGATGAGCAAAAAGAACAAACTGATGACTGCCCTGGGTGGCTGGGATTTACACTCTGGTTTTGGATCCATCTGAGTATTAGCACTTGTATCCTTCATCTTCACTTTCCACCCCATTCCAGTGGGACCAGGTCCTACACTATTAAATGTCTCCTTAGAATTACAATGTGGATTCATGTCTGAGTGGAAGTAGCTCAACAGCATCAGCCTACTCGTTTATAACTTAAATCCCATCATGAGTTAGCTTTTACACATTAAGTCATATCTTTCCCTTTGGTTTTTCTGTCTTTCAAAGCCATGCATTATTAATTATTTTGTAGAAAGCATGAATATGCTGGATAAATAAAAACGATTTCACTTTTTATTCTATACAGTTATAAGACTCATTTGAGCCTGCAAATGCCCCCTACAGGTTGCCTACCTTTGTTGGTTAAATGGCTAGCTTTTTTTCTTAAGATGTAGTCCCATATTTCCATTCATATCAGGGGTGCAGAACATGACTCATTAATTTATCTATTCAGAACTTATATTTGTCAGGTATTGTGTTAAAAAAGGTGCAGTCCAGTGAGGAAGCAAATGAACACAAAGCAATTATAATACAGGCTGGTATTGAAGGGGTGTGCAAAGGGGAGTTGAGAACCACAGAAGCACCTAACCCAGCCTGAGGATGTCAGGTGCCACCTGAGCTTCCAACTAGAGGGTGAAGCAGAGTCATCAAGGGATACAGAAGAGGCAGGGACTGGAGTCAGTGATGCAAAGATAGGTGCGAAGAAGGGCTTTGGTAACAGATCAAATGCTCCTCAGATTATTACATGGGTCAAAGTAATGTTCAGATGATTGTATTACCCTAATATGGCAATTTTACTTGTATAATACAATATATACTATCAAGTGGTTCTCTTTCTTCTTAACCCTGCCAAGTTAAATATAGTTTTCCTTAATTCTGATCTCATCTCTTTTGTTGTTGTGAACAATCATAATGTTAATGAAATAGATGAATTCTAATTTTCTTTTTCTTTTTTTTAATATATTTTATTGATTTTGTACAGAGAGGAAGGGAGAGAGATAGAGAGTTAGAAACATCGATGGGAGAGAGTCATCGATCAGCTGCCTCCTGCACAACCCCCACCGGGAACATGCCCGCAACCAAGGTACATGCCCTTGACCGGAATCGAACCCGGGACTCTTCAGTCCCCAAGCCGACGCTCTATCCATTGAGCCAAAACGGTTTCGGCAAATTCTAATTTTCATTTGCACTAGTTGCATTGTATTTTTAAATTTTATAAGTGTCTTTTTGCTTATTCTTTTCCACGTTAGCCATCATAATAGAAACTAAGTCTTGAGAGGCTCTCTGGAATCTTCATAAATATACAAGTAAATGTTCTGCAAATGCACTACCTGCATTCGTAAAGAGCCATGTAAAATCTAGCATCTAATTTAAGCTGTGCCTTTGAATACATAAAGGTGATTTCTAAAAAATCTTTAGCACTAAAAGAAAATCTAAGGGCACACCTGACGAACTACCCATAAACTGTGCTTTACAGAATTTTTTTTTTTAAGGGGGTGAGAGACTGCCTGTCACTGAATAGCAGATCTTTGGACTGTGTTTAAAAAAAAAAAAAAAAAAAATAGTTGGTAACATCAGTATCACAAATCTTTCAAATTTTAAGCTTTCCAAGTTTAAAAAAAAGGGGGGCTGGGGGTAGTAGTCCATTCCAAAAATTCCAACAAAGCAAAATTTAAAATGATTGGCCAGTGAAACTGATTATTCACTATTGGATGTCGGTTGAAATTAACATTGAAAGATTCTTTTTAATCCATGGTTTTTAAAAAAGCAAGGTAGAAAGAATAAAGGCCTTTTTGTTTTGTTTGGTTTTTTGGTGGCATATCATGTTTGTACTGATTGCAAATGGGAGGCACTATTAACGACTTTCTGTGTGTTAAACCTCTGAGTCATGCTTCAATGCTTTTATGGTAGGATTATGTCAGGTGGCCAGCTCTTTCTACATTATCTTTCCATTCATCACATAAAATCAGGCATAAATCTTCATGTTTGGTATTGTTCTCTCTCTTTGATTGAACATTTGGACTCTGAGAGCATTAATTTTCTGCCTTAAAAGATTTATATATGAAGGAATCACACAACCATTATATTCCATCTGATTCTATTCAGGCTATTTCTTCAAACTTCTCCCTTTTGACTTCTGCATCTTTTTTGCCATCTCTCTTCTAAATTTTAATTTTGTTTTTTCCTAGTGGGGGGAAATCTTATTTGTTCTCATGGTTTCAACATCTCCAGCTACTCATAAATCAGTCGATGTATTCCTATTATCTGAAACTCACCTTCTATACAACTAAATTGTTCATCAACTTTCACTCCAAAATTTACTCCTTTGGGTCATTTCTCTGTTTTGATCAATTGCACCAGTGTTGTTGTGTTGTTGTTGTTTTTTTTTTGGGGGGGGGCAAAAATTATTCCTTTTAGCTATTTTTGATACTTCTGGTGCTTCTAGAGGAACTGGTATCTTTCTCCCTGTGCTAGTATTGGGGATTTTTGAAGACTAAAACGATCTCTCTTCCTTGGTGGCTCAATGCTGTGCACTGACCAGTCTCCACACTGGCCTGTTGAGCCACTTGTAGCTACTAGTGGTCAATCTGGACTCAGCCTAGTCCTCTAGCTCAGCCTGTATTTCTCTCTAGCCCAGTATGTATGCACAAGTTGCCACACTTCCTTTATCCTTAATCCATTGATTCAAATGACTAGCTTCCTCTGTCTTCAGCATAAATCTCAGATCCATGACTTTAAATTTGCTGCCTCTGCTATCATCCGAGTCCAGGCCTTAATGCATTTATATCTCAGTCACCAAATCTATCTGATTGATGTACTTCATCAGTCCAGCTCTGTCAGTTAGTACCAGCCTTTCTTTTTGACACCTTCTTAGTCTTCATTATCTTTCACCTTTTTATTCTCTACTGAACATTTTCTAGTTAGATTTTATAGACTTCCGTGGCAGTTTATATTTTAAGCTTTTAAAGGGTATGACCATTGCTTTCCAATTCTTTGTATGCTAATATGTGACACTGTGCTAAATATAAACAAATGTGTAATAAATATTTACTGATTTTTTTTTATTTTTATTGATTTTAACCCCAGTTTTTAATTAAGTACTAATATTAACATTACCTTAACATTATTCATAAACAGTAATATCAATGTTTATTAAGCAGTGTTCTAAATACTTCACTATATATTATCACATTTAGTAGCAAATTAACACAGTGGTTGTACTTTTTAATGTGTGGGCTTTCAAATAATTAATTTATTTACTAGAATGTCACTTATTTTATTCTTAGCTTAAGGAAGGAACCAAAAGAATCTAGAAAAATGGAGTAGTTAACAGACCCTCTTTTCTTTCTGCCATACCAGCTGTTTAAGCATGTTTTTAATTTGTACGGGGCCACCAAAATCCCTGTTAAAATTCCTCAGCAAGTAGTGACATTGTCATGTTAAAAGTCCTCAACAAATGGTGACGGTGTTAAGTGAAACCTATCTCTGTGCCCTCGATGCTGGCAGCGGACTTCCTGAGATTGCAGAGCTGGGTATGTGAAGGAAGGGTTAGACTACTTCCCCTTACAAATGCAGGAGTACCGAGTGCCCACTCCATTTAACACAGAGCAAGAGGGCAAAATGCAAGTGGTTTTTG